TCTCTCTCTCTCTCTCTCTCTCTCTCTCTCTCGCACGATTTAACGAGGTTGGTCTGTTGTAGGCATTGGCTATACTCTGGATCCAGATTTTTCATTCGTTAAGATTGCTGCGCCGTACGCACAGGTTCGGTTGTCTACATTATAATTAGTTGTTGTGCAGCTATTTTTAACTCTAAATCAATTTTTACATGCAATACAGGAACTCTTATTTGAGAGACTTAATCAGCGTACAGGGACACAAGTTGTTGAAGAAATGAAGAAACAAGCTGATGATGTACTGTATATATATCATTCCAATTTCGCTACTTATTTTTCAAATATATTGTCATTTTCTTTTTTTCTCTTTTTTTTATAAATACCAGATACCTAGATTTATACTAATACTATAATACACTAATGTGTTGTGAATGTTTGAACAGGCAACATCGGACACAATCTCCATGCCTTACCGAATCCAGCAGATAGAAGACATTGTAAAACAACTTGAATCTGGGGATTTAAAGCTCCGTGTTCGTGTCCTTGAGGTTATTTTCTTTTACTTTTTTTTTTCTCGAGTTTTTTTATTTCTCGGAGGCTGTCGAATTCTGTGACGGACCCAGACCCAGAATTTTGTCTTAGGAGGAGCCATATTAATTATGCTCTACTTATTACAAGATAAAACAATCTTGTGTCTGGAAAGTGGTGGAGGGGCCATGGCCCCCATGAGACCCCTATGCACGCTCCGCCACTGGTCAAATTAATTTTTTGTGTATATCTCAAGCTGTTGAATATTTTGGTCGACGACAGTATATTACTGTCCGATCAAAACTCTATTTCTTGATATGTATAAGAAGAATAATGTAAACGCATAATTTGAATTTTGTCAGTCGGAGAGAGCAGCTCAAAAGGCAACGGTACTGCAGATGGGAACCATATATACAATATTAGGGGGCACCCTCCTAAATATTGGCGCAATGTTCGTCAATCAAGGCAGTCGAATGATTGCAAATGGTTCGTTTACTATGGCAGGTCTGTGTTATAGTTTTCTTGTTCCCATTCATCCTTGTGATAATTTCTATTCTAATCAAATCTCATGTGCAGGTTTTTTCTTCCTTCTATTTGTTAGATCCATGCAAAGGGTGAAAGAACTTGATAACTTTGAGAAAATGATTTGAATTCGATAAATACCCAGATTTATTTATTTATTATTTTTTCATTTATTGGGCACTTATAGAAGGGTTAATAGGAAATTGAAATTTGAGAGGATGCCCGTATAAACCCATATATATATCTCGTGCATTCGTCTATGTTTAGATTCATGCAAGAGCTGAATAATTTGGTCACTGTAAGTTGTTCGACATAGGTTATGCATTTGTTGGTAGTGATGTATGTAAACAAATTGAGAATAGATGAATACATTACTTTTTTTTCTTTCCGGATATTGTTTTGGTTCGATTATTCATTGAATCGAGCTCGAACAAGTTTCTTTGATCAAGCTGAACACGAAATTGGCAGCATCCTGGAAAATATACTCTTCTTCATTCAAGATTCGAGCTTCTTAAACGAGAAAATGATCATAGGACAGACATTATAGAACTCGCAATTCATACGAAAACTAAATACAAAACCAAATGCTGTTTTGACATTCATCAGACAAAAAGAAGAAACGGGCTTTGAGATACATCGTAAGAAAATATCCATCCATGAAATTTGTTGTATAGTAAAACAATTGAGGGGAACTCTAGAAGAGTAATAATAGCATCCGATACTAGGTAAAACTTGTTTATTTAACTCGGTAAAAGTTTAAAGAAACCATTAAAAGCAGAAACGAGATGGTGTTCTAGCCCTGATTGAAGAGACGAGAGACAAGACCAACTCTCCACCACGGTGTCACTGTTAATGTCTGATTCTTGTGGGATATAAGAGATGGGAGACCACTTTTCTCCACCGATGATGACGTCATCTCTTTCGAACTTGTCCCTAATGACCTGCACACAAAAATATTACAACTCTAGAACCCAACTCGGACAGATATTTGCGACTAAAAATAGAACATCAATACGTAAAAAGCATAAGGCTGATAGCTGATAAAATTTAGATGGTACTGCTTTCCAAATCTAAAAGAATGTTTAAGAATCGATGTATTGCTGTAAAGTTGATATATTATTTACTTGTCGGAATGGGAATTTTTAAGTGCAAGTACAGTGACAGGATAACTTGTCTTGTGTGTGTGTGTCAAGTACTTGTCATTCATGAAACCATTCCTCGTGATTAACATCTTGGACAACTACATTAAAACAACGGGAGAAGATTTTGGAAGTTCCTAAATAGGAGATTAATCTATGTTGTCAGTTTATAGAGGGCCATGAAAGAAATGAACTTAGCACAAGCATACCACATTTGCAAGTTGCGTTTCTCAACATAGTAGTACGATGAAATTACGAAAGCCGAAAACTTACACCTTTAAGCATTCGAAGATAAATATGCAAAACACAATTTCTTCAAATATGGGGTGAGAAAGAAACATACAGTGGGGGTAGTGGAGCTTCATATGCAAATGAAGAGAGGCCTTGACGCTGCTTGTGCTTCGGATTAACAGTGCATAGGACATACACGCGTCCACGTCGCTTCACTGTCCTACAAAATTCACACATTTTTTTTACCGATGAACGGACCTTCATCCTACACACGCAAGCAACAACAACGTTATCACAAGATTATATTTGTGCAATAAAAATCATTCATCAACCACACGAGAGGAAGTGCTAACAAAAACCACTTGTCGTTCCAAAGTATCGTGTAACCTGATTGGCTGAATAAGAAACTAATAATACAAATAGGCTAAATCACACCGAAACCATAAACATGTAATACGATAGACATTGCTTACAGTGCAAGAATTGAAAGTGAGATTCAATATTCCTCTTTATATTCAGAAAAAACGATTGAGCTCAAATGGGAACACAAAGTCTAGTTAAAAACCAACTCAACAAGAAATATCAACAAAGATGATACCTAAAATTCAATTAAAAAAAACAAAAATCAAGTATAAACCCTAAAAACATGAAAAATCACAGTAACGTGTTCTGGTTTCTATTTTAGGCAGACCCACGCCAAACCAAATTCAAATCATCACTAAAAAAACAAGAAATGGTAGAAATTGAAGTAAATTATCCTTAAATTCTTTAACATAAATTAAATTACTCGTCAGCAGCATTTCTCAGAAACAAAAAAAAAAAGCAAAGGAGTAAAGGGGAAGGAGAAGAATCGAGACCTTAGTTAAGAATCTTGTCGGCAGGAGAAGGAGAAGGAGAAAGAGAGAAAAAGTGGGGAAGGAGAAACAAGAGCGAGCTTCGATCCGGTGTCGTTTTTGCCGCTCACACTCCCATTGGGCTATTAGGCCCAACATAGGGAAAAAAAAAAAAAAAAAAAAAAAAAAACAAATCAATACAATTTTGGTCCTCTTTTGAAAAAGTTTATTGAAAAGCAGAAGTTATGGATTGTGAATTAAGGTGGTGTTTGCAAAAGCTTTTAAAAATAGATTATGAGCTTTTTTTTCTCACATAATCTGTTTTTAGGTGTTTGCAAAATCGATTTTTGCTTTTGGTTCTCTTAAAATAAGCTGTTTTAAGCTATAATTTTAAAAGCACCCATGTACCTACTTTTTCTATTTTAGTTATTTTCCAGATTTTTTGCAAACACCCCCAACTTTTAGAATTAAGCATTTAATATCAACTTAACTCACAATCACCAACTTATGCTTTTAAATAAGCTTTTGCAAACACCACCTAAGTTGATTTAAAGTATTTCTTTTCAAAAGTTGGGGTGTTTGCAAATTTATTAGAAAATTATATTAAATAGAAAAAACAGGGTCATGGGTGTTTGATAAATTATAGCTTAAAATTGTTTTATGAGAAGCAAAAGTAAAAGTTGTTTTTGCAAACACCTAAAAACAAATTATGTGAGAAAAAAGCTCATAATCTATTTCTAAACGTTTTCGCAAACACCACCTAAGTCTCGAATAATAAATTTATTTAATTTATTTTGAAATAGAGAATATCTGTTTTACTCCCTTTTTATGAATAAAAACTAGAATCAAATGTAATTTCTTAAATGTCACTACTCAACCAAGTGAAAATCAAGTATTAAGAAAAAAAAAAAAAAAAAGGAGAGCTTTTGGCTTCAATAATTTGAATATTTGATGAACTCAAATGATATTGAGTATCAAAATTGATAAGTCACATAGTAATTTCAAAATTGATAAACTCAAATGATATTCGCTTTTTGTTTTTTTAAATGCTAGAGAAATGATGAATCCACTATAAATAAAATATTGAAATAAATAACTGAAATGCTAAATTCTACACTAAAATTACAAAATCCCACACATAAATAAAATATTTTCTCTCTCTAAAATCCTCCAACACCCAAAACCCTCTTCCTTTCCTCTTCTTTTCCCCCATACTTCTCTCCTCATTGTTTGCAAAATCACCTTCCAAATCAAGAAATAAGTAGTTAAATATTGCAATTTATGTTGAAGTATGTACTCTGCAGTAGTACTTTTCTGGTTATGGGGACTTAGGGTTTGCATGGATGGAATGCGTTCATCCATCAAATTTGTAAGATGAAAATTGAAAATTGAAACCTTATATTTAAATCTAAACACTTCTATTCATCAAGCTTCAGAGCAGATTGAACATTTTTTAATCCATGTAGAAACAACGATATATTTCAAATCACCCAAAAATCAAATCAATTCAATCGACGAACAAGCAAAAAAATCTTTACATCGCGCTAAAAAAAATGCGGACAGAGATAGGTGGGTCTGTGGTGGCCGCGCGGTGAAGAAAGGTGCGTCCACCATAGCCGCGGGTTGTAGTAGTCGTGCGTCCAAGGTGGATGCAAGGCGGAAGAAAAAAATCATCCATGGTGGACGCAAAAGGGTGTCAGGTTTTTTTTAATTTAGATATAATAATTATTTATTAATATTTAATATTTAATAATGATATTAAATATTCTTAATGTATATGTTTTATGTTTGTTTTCTTTTGATCAATAATTTAATAACAATTATTATTAATTATTTAGTAATGTTTTATGTTTTTTTCTTTCTTTAGATCGATAATTTAAAATTATTTTATAAGGGCTAATAATTGTTTATAATTTTACAATGTTTTAAATAGTTATTTAAGTAATGTTATGAATAATTGTTTAATTTAATATTTAATTTTTTTTATGAATATTAATAATTGTGTGTGAAAAGGAGTAAACAGAAGAAGTGAAAAAAAGTTGTAGAGAGAGAAAGTATTTAATTTATGTGCAGGATTTAGTAGATTTTAGTGTACAGAAGAAGAGAAAGGTGTTGAGGAGAGAAGTCAGAGAAAAAAGTTGTAGAGAGAGAAAGTATTTAATTTATGTGCAGGATTTAGTAGATTTTAGTGTACGATTTAGCACTCCCCAATAAATAAATATTGGGATTAGAGAGAGATTTGAGATTGGAGAAAGAGAAAATAAATAGGCTGGGTTTGGTAGGGCTGCCGGGTTTGGCAGGGCAGCCCTGATAAACCCCTTGAATCACTACTATTACTGAAGTTTCGGTAAATATGGAATTCATTACCATTGTCGTCCCTAAAAAAATGATACCAAAATTCGTTCATCAATTTGAGAGAGAATATTGGTTGAGACACAAGACAAGAGATCTGATTAATTTGAATCCAAATGGAGAACAAAATTGATAATCAAACCCATGAAAGAAGAGAATGAACAAACAAAATCAACCCCGTAACGAAATAGGTTCTTACAACAACCAAAACATCGTTGTCATTATTCGACAAAGGTTCGCTTTAACCTGTGTACGTACAACAAGGACACAATTAACATAATTATCTCTTAACAAAAAAAAAAAAGAAAAGAAAAAGGGACGTGGATTATTAGTGAGAACAACTTCTCCTCAGCCAGTACAAAGATCAAATGTAAAATATTACTTCATCACTTGTACAACTTTTCGAGCTCGCCTTTAAATTTGGCTTTCAATTGCTCCCTCTTCAATTTGAGAGCTGCAGTAACCAACCCAGATTCTGGTGTCCATGGATCCGGCAGCAAATGGATCTTTGCCGGAATTTCAAACTTCTCCAATTTTGCTGTTTTTGCTGCCTGTTTTATTATTATTTATTTCCCAACTTACATCAATCTACCGATTACAAGAAACGAACAACAATAATACTTCCTTTAAAGTGTTGACAGATAGAAATAATTTAGAACATGCAGCAATAAGTAGACTCTAACGCCTTGTTCGGCTACATAGCTTGGGATTAATTTGGATTAGCTTGAATTTTATTAATTCCCCAATGACTAATTAAGTAGTTGGTTAGTAAGATGTTTGGTTATGTATATTAGATCTAGTATTAAAATTTGGTATTAAATGTACGATTTCTCAATAACGTCCATAATTTAACAAATGTCGTATCATATTTTGTAGTATTTTAGAGACAATATCATTTTTTTCCCTTTCTAGTTTACTACCTACAGCTTTTATTGTGAGCGTTGGATTCTAAATGTAAAAATATTTTTATTCGGGCAGGGAACAAACCTTGATGAGTGATTGCTGAACCTCATTTTTAGCTTCGGTTTTGTCACACAATTCGGAGAAATCATTGTATTTAATTCCAGCTGCATTTGCCCATTCTTCAAGGGACTGGCGTGAAGGCACAACTAGGGCAACACAAAAGTTGTTGAAAGGATCTGCATGGACCATGATATTCTCTACGAAGTTGCTCGACATTAGTGCAGCCTCAACCTTGAAGAACATCAAACTTTAATGAGTTAAAATTCGAGGGAAAAATTAATGCAGGCAGGCAAAATTTGGAATCAAAATCACATTAATAATCCACCTTGCCAAGAGAGACGTATTCCCCATGCTGAAGCTTGACAATATCTTTCTTTCTGTCAATAATCTCAAGGCATCCATCTGCATGAAACCTTCCAATATCACCAGTGTAGAACCAACGCATGCCACTTTCATCAACCTGTATAATTATGCAAAAGCAAAAATGAAGAATCGGTAACTATAAATGAAATAGGCAGCAGAATTGCAATATGCATTTATTTAGAAGAACAAGTTTGCACCTTGTAAACTTCCTCAGTTTTCAAGTCATTATTATAGTAGCCAGCAGTCACACTGGCCCCACCAACAACAACCTCTCCTCGGGGCAAAGGCTTATCCGAGGTTGTGTAGCCACCTTCTTCCCAAGAAACTAACTGCACCACATTTCCACAAAAATATTTCAATTATTCAAAGACTAAGCAGTTTCATCTATGCCCCTTCAGTATTTATAATCTTCTTCGAATCTTTACTTACAGGTGGTATATGTTTGACTAGAAGCCCGCCCTTAGGACGAAAATGTTACAAAAGGAAATATACCTTAATGTAGCAACAAGGAAGAGGAGGGCCAACACGCCCAACAGAAGTGTCATCCGCCTCTGAAAAAGCAGCTCCAGCACATGTTTCTGTTAGGCCATATCCTTGACCAATCGGAGCCCTGCAAATCAAAAACGAAAACATGTTCAACACATTTATTGATCCAAAACATAAATTATCATCTCTGTTCTGTCCAAATCTTACCCCATGCAAATGTTGATAAATCTTTGTGTATCTCCAGATAAAGGAGCTCCACCACAAAGCATAAATCGAATATCTCCTCCAAGAATAGACCTTATCTTTTTAAAAACAAGTGCATCCCACAAAAGAGTTTCTAGACCCCACGCTCCAAACCAGCTTCCTTGAATAGCGACCAGACGGCGCTTGTAGGCGATGTTGAAAAGTTTCTTCACAATACCTCCTTTCTCGTCAACCTAAGACGTGAAAAAAAATATTAAAGTCTCTCGACTTTTAAAACTTGTTAATGTGTTTTAATGATATTAATATGTGCACTGCATAAATAACCTTCTTCAATACTCCATCTCTAACACGGTCAAGTATAGCTGGAACAGCTGCCATTAGTGTAGGCTGTAACATAGAAGCATCTCCCTTGGTTCCCTTTTTGATTTTGTTGGATGTGTCTGTTAATGTCAGTGCCGAGCCATATCCAATTCCAGCGCCAGCAGTTAACATGACAGTCTGTAGGAATGAATATCTTAGAACTAGCCGGATGATAATATTCATCCTAGAAAATAATAAGAGATTACAATAAACATGTCACCTCAGCAGCTAACTCAAACACATGAGCTAGAGGCAAGTATGCCAAATAGAGATCCTTGTTTCCAATTTGTGGGATCACTGTCATAACTGCTGCTGCAGTTGCTACAATGTTGCCATGACTCATCATAACACCCTACAAATTTCAATGAAAACCATGTCGGCAAAGAACCCTTCTCTTGAAAAAGAGTTAAAGTGTAGAACTAGAGATCAGTTGATGAAACATACTAAGCATGAAGTATAACTGCATTCAAATTTGAAAGCGTAACAATGTGAAAAATAAAATTAAAAATGACCCACAACTGCACCTATTAATTACTTTTTCCATAATTAATTTACTTATTTTGTATTCAAAATCTCAAACCATCTCATCCAAACAAAGAAATTGCTCAAGTGTTGCCTGGATATCCTCTTTTATACTCGAGTTGAAGATGCAATTAAAAACATATGATTGGCCAAATTACATTTTATGTACCTACAAGCTAATTTTAGTAGATATCTCTTCACTTTGAAGGTAGATGAACGCAAGGTGGAATACGAAATAAATAACAGCTGAATCTACACATAAGAAGATTTTGCAGGTATGATTCTTTTACCTCCACCAAAGATCATTCATTATATTTATGCACAAAAAATGGGTCATTTAAGAATGCAAGTTCTTGTGCAGAACAAAAATATGGATCAAACCTTAGGGAGGCCTGTACTGCCACTTGTGTACATGATGACAGCAATATCTTTCTTGATTGGCAGATTAGGTTGAGCAGGATTATTTTTTCCAAGTACTTCCACTTCCGTAAAAGAGGAAATTTTCCATTCACTAATCTTTTGGTTAGCACTGGCATCATTTGCAGAGTCTTCATCGTCAAAATAAATAATGTTTTTAATGCTTGGCAGGCTTGAACTTATTGCAGCCAACTTCTTTAATTGCTTGGAATCACAAACCAGGGTTGACACTTGAGTCTGTCAAAGACACACTTGTAAACATTAGTCAGTTCTAGAGTTTTTACGACAAAATCGATCTCAAATGGTATTCAATTGTTCATTCTTGATCGGAAAAGAAAACCGAAATAGGGAAGCAAATAAATACTGAATATAAAATACAATAACAAGAAAAATAAATCTGGATGACAGCTAGAGTAACCCTTTAAGAGATAAATTGCGGCCACCTCATTTAATGAGTGAATTAGGGCATCGTCTCCTAAAGAAGCATAAATGGTAACAACAGTGATGTTCTGGCGGAAGAATCCCTGAAACCAACGAGAAAAGTAAGATTAGATCAAGACCACGGAAAAAATAAATAAAAGAAAATGAGAAATTAAAAAAGATAAATTCACACAAACTTGCAAACATTACCTGAAACGCGATTAACCACTCTGCTCGAGATTCAGAAAAAATGGCAGCACGAGTGTCTACATCATGGCCAATTTTAAGAAGACCAGAAGCAAAGTTGCAAACACGATCAAATATCTGGCTATAAGTTTCCCACTGGTACTCGCCCAAGTGAAGCTTCTCAAATTTTCTCCCATCACTAGCTGTAACAAAGTCTTTAGCAATTAGCTTTCTTGTCCCGAGACACTTTGCTTGTTGATGCCTTTTACACGACTGCTCGAACAATGATGCCAAAGTCGTAGCCCCTTCCCAAGGAACCTCAACTAATTTGGCTGACCTAGCATTGCGCATTGCAAAACCAGACTCGCCACCAACTTGAACTGGAACTCCTCTCGGCTTCGACTTTCTCTTTCCGCCAAGTACCACGGCGAGGACTATAGGTATAACCACAGCAAAAATGATAGCACCAACAATCCCATATATTCCATTATCTTTGATAATCGACAAAAAGCTGCTACTTCCAATATTCTTCATCGTGTTTGTGTCCAGGTTACTTTCCTCAGCTTCACCTATCTGTAATGAATGAATATGCAGTTAACTTGTGATAATCGGCATTCCTACACAGAAAAAAAAAATGGTTATCACCAAACAATTTCAAATTAAAATAACCAACACCATATATGCTCGAATAGAGTGGAGTAACAGCATCAAAACCACCATAATACAAACATTCACATCGGTACGTACAGAATAAAGGAAACATAAATCAGATATGATAGTGCATATCATATCTACATTTTATACATCACTGGTACTTGTAAAAGTTTCCATTTGGAGTGAAGCTCCAAATTCCCTTAACCCAACTCTACGGTAAGGGATAAAACCGTACAAAAATTCCGTTTTACGTGAAAGGAAGAGTAAATTAGCACACCTACTCAAGAAACCTGAAATTGGTAAACACAATCACAATCTCCTTAAAAAAAAAAGGAAAAAAGAACAATCCATCAGTTCAACGAAAAGCTAATAATCATCAAAGCCCAACATCACAAATAATAAATCAAAATTGAGAAATGAAATAACAGAGAATTTTGTTTCCAATTCATCCCAAAAACTTCAAAAGCTAAGCAGAAAAAAAAAGGGAATAAATTGATATAAATACAGTAAAAATCAATCACGATCATCACGAAATGGATCATACATCGACGAACACAGATAAAAAGAAACTTGATTTAGGAATAGAGCATCAAAATTGCGATCATAAAATACAGAAAAAAAAAAAAAAAAAAAGAACACAGATATTAAATAGCTGCTCGCACCTTCGAGGATTTTAATATCTTTTTTGTTGGCTCACAGAGCATATAATTTGATCATGCAAAAAAAATCAGGATTGAAAAAGTTGGAATAGTCTGTTCTAGTGAGCGTGGTAGTAAGGGTATAAATGCCCCACTTTTCTTCTTCCTTAAATTACAATGTCGACCCATTTCTCTTTTTAATTGAAAACCGATCCTTGTAGGTTTTTATAATTGTATAGAGACCCCCTTGTATTATCTTTTTTTTTTTTTGTCCTTTTGAATAGTTTTCTTTAAATATGCCTAATTTATTGACTCATAAGTAAATTAAATAAATAAATAAAACCATTAACTATTTCATTCGTATAAATATTTTCTTGATATATATTTTAAATAAATTCTATTTTTTTTTAGAATTCTTTTTATTATCTTAGAATGAAGAGATCTCTGTTTTTGATAAGAAAATAAAACAAGTTCCAAGAAAGAAAATAAATAAATTAATTGAGCAATCACCAAGTTGCTATTGATAATAATAAACGATTGGTTCAATTTATTATTCTTGGTATAAAAATTGCTAGTATATAGTATAAATAACTAATAAAACATGGGAGTAAAAACAATTATTGTTAGTTGTATGCAAAAACAGGTAATAAAAGAGGTTGGAATAATAATAAATTAACTGGAGAAAGAAGAGAATTGAACAGAAATTGAAATGGGCACACAATTCCATACAAAATTGAAATGGGCAGCACAGCAATTAATTTAGTCATGACTCATGAATTCATTTATCTAGAAGCTACGGACTTGTTCTTTAAACAATGAATGAATAACATGTTTATTGTTGACTCATTAAAATTTAGAAAATGGGTTTCATAAATCCTAGTCAAATTGTATTTAAATAAATATTGTCATTGTCGAATTATTAAATTAGTTTTTGGTTATTATTATTATATGGTACTACTATCTCAGCAGAAATCAGTTAAGACTGTTGCAATTTTGATTCAGTCCATGTAGATCATACAACCAGTAAGATAGACCGACCATAAACCATGTAGTTTTACACCATGAATCGACACACACACACACATGTGAATGTATGTAAAAACGAGTATTTGACAGTACACGTATACGCACGTATATGGAGAAGTTACATTTTTTCGAGTGTTAGATAGATGGTAGAAAAGTCTAGTTGGAACCACGTTTAGCAGTTTCTTCGGCCCGAGTGAGTGCATCCGATACCACATCCAAACTCCAATCCTTCACATCTTCCTGCAAATTTACAATCAACCCACTTTACACCTCTAATCTAACGTAACACATGCAGAAGCAATACACAATATATGACCTAAAAAAAAGAGCACAGAAAACTCGAGGTAGAATCCGGTTCAAGAGTAAATGCGCATAGTTTCAGTTTAACCTTTTTTTTTTAATTAGTTATTTAGCTTATATACAAGAAGTCAGAAAATAATCATAGAGACTGCATGCATATATATATATATATATATATCTTAAAAAAATTGGAAATTATATGCTATCACTCAATTAGTGCTTGTGATATGCACGAGACAGCTTTCAGCAATATATCGAGGAGATATTTTCAAATTTTGAGGAATGGAGAGAATCCCCGAACAAGAAGACTATTATATTGAAATTCTCCCTCCCTCTACATATATGTTACTCATAAAACTGGAAAACAGAAATAGTAGACGGCTAATCCCCACCTATGGACAACTGAAATCGATTTCAGATTGCAGTTTTCAATACACACAGATAGACTTTTGCAACACAAGAAATGTCAAGTTTTGAACTGTGTGCCGTATACTTCACAAATAAATATTTTTCACATTATATTTACTAGTTATTGGCACTTCCAATATTTCACATTTTGAATAATCAATCCTTTTATTAACAGTTATCTTACATTTAACAAATCACGACTTAGCAGTAATAAAAAAGAGGTCAGATTAAATAGTAAGTATAAACATTTATCAAAAAGATTATAAATAAATCAAATGAACCAATATCATAATCTGTCTAACCCCTGATATCCAAATTCATAACTTTTAGTCTTTTACTTTTATTAGAATTTATATTTGACTCATTGTATTTACTATCTGAGAGAAATAACACATTTGGCATCGGATGCAATATGTTACCACATTCCAGTCACAAATAAAACGCGTACAACGATCCAACACACAAATAATTGCAATGTCGATAAGGGAAGGGAAGAAGATGAAATTACCAAGTTCAAGGGTTCGTCAGTGCGTATTCTAGCATTTTGACGAGAAATCTTAGACTCAAAAGGAGTCCTTGGTCGAACTTGTTGAATTTCATCCCACTCCTCACGACTCAGCATCCTCACCGTACCCTGTCCCGCAGGTGCATTCTTTATCTTTCTCTCTATCCTTTCCTGCGATCTTGCATCATCAAGCTGCAAGTACGTTTTTTTAGTTTTAGCTTTTTCCAATCTTGAAAAAAGGCCATTTACGTAATACCATTCGTGGCCATAAAGACTGATGCCCTTACAACCTTTTTTCGAGACTAATAAAAACGTATTCAAGAAATAATGTTTCGATGGTCATAATTTTGTTAAGATGTACAGCAAGCAATAAACTCCTTTGCAAACTCAAGCGCTTTGACTCTCGGGACAAAAAAAAAATCAACGAGAAAACAAATTCAAAAAGTACCATCATGAGGAGCTTGGCAAAGAGGGCAGTTCCGACAACAGTAAGTAACATAGGCATAGTAGCTGTATCGAGATACTTTCTTGATTCAGGAACATCTACAAATAGTTTACTTTTCTTGGTCGATCTTCTTCGTTTCTCCTTCTCAAGGTCTGCAAGCTTCCTCTTCAAGGTGTCGCTTGGACCATCATGGGACAGTGTGTGCACTTTCCTACATATCTGAGACAATGTCCGACGAACTCCGTTCATCTTTACCAAGGTCCAAGGCTCATTTATCACTTGATTACAAGGTTAACCGAAACGAACAATACGAAATCCTAGCTGGCAACAGTTTATCCTATTTCCACAACACGTTTAACTAAAAATAAGTGACCCGGAATACAATTAGAACAGTTGCAGAATCACTGGTTACGACAGAAGAAGCATGTACAGCTAATCAACAAGTACAGAAGAATTAGGAAAATAAAAAATAATAAAAATTGAAAATTGTAGATGGATGTTGTGTCAGTAACTTTTGTTAAACAGCTTAATGAAATTGAAACTAATATTCACCGAGAAAATGACATTGATTTCAAAGTTCAATTTTTTTATTGAAAAAAATATACACAAATATATTTTTATATAGATCATTAATATTCCCAAAATATTAATTTACAAAGCGGGAATTGAAATTGGGATTCAATTTTTGTTTAAATTTATATTTTTGTTATGAAGAAAAACGATTGAGCTGAAATGCAAACACAGAGTCTAGTTAGATCAAACTCAGTTAAACAATAATTATCGACAGAGATTAATTTAAAAGTATTAGAGACATAAACAATGAAGCATGATAAACCCTAAAAAGATGAATGTAAAAAGGAAGAAATGGGAGAGATTGAATAATTGACCTTAAATTATTAAAGACGAAGGAGAGGAATCGATACCTCCTGGCCTGGATTAAGAATCTCGAAAGAGCTGAAAAAAACTAGAGCTTGGATACGGTGTCGTTTTGTTCACTCACACACCACAACTGGGCCATTCATCAAGCCCATCGGGCCCAAATTTCATTCTGGAAAGAAGAAAAAAAAGAAAGAAAAAAAGAAAGACAGGTTCCCGCCAAATGACGCATGCGTCACCATCTGCCACCTGTTTTCCCGGGAATGTCATGCAACATAAACAAAAAGTACACGCGTCGCAACCCAGCCCATCTTCTCTCTCACACATCCCACCATTTCTAAGCAGTTATACTTTTACTCTCACCATTTCTAATACTCTGAATAAACCAACCTTTAATTCTTGTTCAATTCTCTATATTATTCATCTTCTTCTGGAATTTTGTTTTCTTCTCTACTGTTCGAGTACTGATATATCAGTAGTTGATGGAGGTGCCAGTTGGATTTGCGGCCAAGTTGTGGAGTTTTATCTCTTTTTTGCCCTTCTTCCTCTCCCTCTTCATATTAGGCCTTCTCAAAGGTACACATTTAATTTTCACTCTCTCTCTCTAGATTAATTAATGATTTTTTTTTTTTTTCTGTACTTACTATTTAAATTATTCCAAGATTGATGATATACATAATTGATCATATTTTTTCTGTATGTTGCATTTACTCTATGAAATGAAAAATATGTTCTTGTGTGCTTGATTGCCGATTTAGGTTTAGTTTGTTTGTATGTACTCATTTATATATATATATATATATATATATGGTGGTGGTGGTTCATGAGCAGGAATGATTATATGTCCAGTTGTGTTAGCTATCGTAACTATCGGAAACTCCGCGGTTGCGATAGGTCTGTGGCCTGCACATTTTATCTGGACTTACTACTGCCTCGCAAAGTACGCACCCTCTTATTTACTTGTATCGATCATCGATCCCAGCTACTATTAATTAACTTTATATCAAAAATTTAAAACAGAAGCAAAAGACTAGGCTGGACTTTGAAGATTCTTGTGTTGTTGTCATTGCCTGTACCCTTAATCCTATGGCCTGTGTTTGCAATAATCGGGAGTCTCATCGGTGGGTTTGGTTACGGCTTTTTCGCACCGTTGATTGCAACATTCGAAGCTGTTGGTGAGAATGTCACCGACAAGTGCTACCACTGCTTTTCGGTCAGTCAGTTTCTCGATTTTTAAACATATATATAATGAAAACCTCATCAACTTTGAATTAATTAATTTGTTTTAAATAGAATTAATTGGACTAATTAGAAACAAAAAAAATGATATAATCAGGACGGTTGCTATTCCACCGTGGAAGGTAGCTGTACTGTAGTGAGGGATTTTACCGATTTTTGCTTCCATTCTTACTTCTCCTACATGGATGAACTCATTGCCGAAGTCCATCAAGACGAGAAACCCATACAAATAAAGTTTAGTCATTTATTTTTTTTCTTAAATATAAGTTTTATTAGCTTTCGCGGTAGGGCACGTATTATCAATTAATGTTTTGTTTTAACTCGATTTTTAAGGTTATGGAGGGTCCCAGGTTGTTTATTGGTGTGTGTAGTTGCTGTTCCGGTGGATGTTCTTCTGATAACAGCAGTCGCTCTTTGGAAGAGCCCGTATATGCTGTTCCGGGGTTGGAAGAGGCTGTTCGAGGATTTGACGGGCCGTGAAGGCCCGTTTCTTGAAACTGTTTGCGTTCCGTTCGCCGGACTAGCCATTCTTCTCTGGCCTTTGGCTGTTTTAGGAGCTGTGTTGGCTTCTTTTCTATCTAGCTTTGTTCTTGCTCTTTATTCCGGAGTTATTGTGCACCAGGAAGATTCTGTTCGGATGGGGCTCGCGTACGCTGTGGCGGTTATTTCGTTGTTCGATGAATATGCTAATGATCTACTGTACTTGACAGAAGGTTCATGCTTCCCCAGGTATGTAACAACTCACACGCTTTTCATGTTATCTTTTCTTGATGTGATCGATCGATCGTTTTTTTTTTTCCCTTTTTCTTTTCTGATTCAATGAATCCTTATGACAGCTAGGCCTCAGTACCGTAGAAGCACGAATCCCTCCAAAGGACTAGAGAAAAGGATGTCACTCGATAGCAAAAACGATAGAGAAGGATTACGCAGTTCCAGGCTAGCTTCTCAAGGATCAAGAACCCTAAAACAAGCTATTCAACGATATACACCCGTACAGGTATGGGGCGTAATTTACTTGTATTAATATGTGGAAAATATTGCCGTTGATTAATTAGGGGATAATTCATTATATATACATATATATATATATGATAGGTATGGGATTGGCTGTTCAAGTCTTGTGAGGTGAACGGAAAAATTATGCTTAGAGAAGGGCTGATAAATAGTAAAGATATTCAAGACTGCATGATCAAAGGGAACTGCAAGAAGCTCGGAGTTAAGCTACCGGTTTGGTCCGTATTACAATGTCTCGTCACATCGGCTAGATCCGATTCACCTGGTTTGATCATCTGTAAGTATGTGATCTCGTCTTGTTTTGTTGGTCGGTCTCGGTTTTTGTTTGATGCGTATATTTTCCAATTCTAATTTTGTACGTAGCGGACCAAGTGGAATTAACAAGATCAAACTTACCGAGGGATAAAGTGTTCGAGTGGTTTATTGGGCCGCTTTTTACCATGAAGGAGCAAGTGAAGGGATTGCAATTGGAAGAAAACGAGGAAAATTGCCTGAAAAAGTTGGTTATAGATTGCAACAATGATAGACCCGAAGATTGGGACAGCACTCGATTCCCGTCCACCGACAAAGTCAGAACAGCACAGTTGCAAGCTGTAATTAGGAGGTGAGTCAGCACAAGTGATCTTTCTTTGAAAAACCATAAGGTTTATTCTTCGTTTAATTTATTCCGGCGTGCAATTTGCTCCGTAACTATAGCAAGCCAGAAAAAAGCTATGTAATATATGTATGTGTGTATGTATATAAAACAGGCTTCAAGGAATAGTGGGGTCGATGTCGAGATTGCCGACATTCAGAAGAAGATTTAGGAATTTAGTGAAGGTGTTGTATGTGGAAGCAATAGAGAAGGGTCTCTTGGTTGAGGATTCATCGAGAGCTGGATTTCACGGTCGACGTTTGTTTGGAAGAAAAGAAAGGGAGGATTTTGCTGCCAATACCAACGATAGCGGTGGACCTGCTATCGTATGACTTTGGAGCATAGATTGCTAATTAAACCATGTATGAAACATAAACAGTCCACGTTTTTTATTAGCTATTTATGTGTCACCTAACATCTTGTTCGAGGGCTGTTTATTCCTAAGATCCTATTGATATTGAAATTATAAAATACATAATAAGATTGATATTATAAGTGCAATTTTCGAAGACAATGTCAATTTTTCCATTAGATTACAAAAATCGTAATAAAACATTGCGCACGTTCAAATCTAACGAGTTAGACTAAGAATAGTTCAAGAGGTAACTGTACCACCACAACTGTAGTTCGTTCGATCACAACTAGAGTAGATTATATTGTGCTGGAGCTAAAATTGTACATTGGAGAGTGCTTTAGCAGCTTGCCTGTTGTGCAAAACCCAGCCTTCCGCAGATGATAAAAAGCTTTACAAAATCGGTGGGAGTGATAATATAATATTGAGAAGAAAGATGAAGAATGGTGCAGATTAAATTGTGGTTTAGTGGACAAAATTAGGGTGAGGGGTCATCTTCCAAAGCATCTGAATAAAGACGAAACGAGTGTTGAAGACAGAAATTTCAGGCCGGCTGATCCTCCAGGGAAGTAGGATATGGCGTAGTATGAGAGGGCAAGTACCTGAAATAAACATCAACTAGTTAGATTACAAGCATGTACACAACTGTTATTACTACTAAAACGGAAATTCCGCTTATCACAGTTTCATCATTTCCTCAAACACACCACTTCTTTCAATTCTATTGTTTGCTATACTTTATATCTTCTATGCACACAGGGTTTGCTAAATCATAGCTTGTCTTTTTCGGAACTCAGAGGAAAGAAATTGCATATTTACATATAACATGCAAGTCAAAGTCACAAAAGTTCCAGAATTTCAAGCTAGGATAACATGTATGAAATAGAAAACACCAACTACTGCAAATAATTGATACATGTTGGAATTAAGGGCACAATTACGGGCAAACATGTTTGAGATTATGGCTTAAAACAACTTGTTGTAAAAGAACCAAAACACGGAGTTTATAAACACTCAAAACCAGATTAGAAGCCCAAAAAAAGCTCATAATCTGTTTCAAAAAACCTTTTTCGAACACCAACTAAGAGGTCCAAATGGCTAGGCTATGTCCAACAGTTTTAAGTAAGCATAGATTTGCTAGTCCAAATCAGGGTTGGCTTGTACTTCTTATACACAAAATAAGTGAAACTGCCTGTTGGACCAGTAAATTAGGAGTGCAATTATAATGGCGATAAAGATAACAACAATGAAAGAGGTTTCCCACCTGTAAGACAGAGAAAAGAACAGAAAGAATGTAACTGTGAAGCACCATGGATACATAAATTGTGCCTGCCATGCTGCCAATAAATCCCAATGTAAAAGGAAGCCTCTGAACAAAACAAAACATAAAATTAATCAGGCGGACAAGTATAGAGAAGCAAATGAAATGAAATATGACCAAAACACCACTTAAGAATATGGATAAATATAAGCAGAAGAAGTCTCTAATTATAACATCAACTAAGATACCTCTTTCGATAACATGTGCATAAGCTGATTTTTTGGACCTTTCAAGGCAAAAAATGAACCAACTATGAAGGCACACCCGATAGTGAAGCAGATTGCAAACTTCTGAGGTTTCAATACCATTACCGGAAGGAATATAGTGAAACCAACGAAGATAAAGAAGATTCCAGTGGCGAGGAAGATCCCAAAGTACATTAGAGACTTTCCAGATGGGACGCTGCTTGTAGAAGAATTGAAGCTCCCAGGTAACTCCCTCACGCCTTTCGAAACCCTGTTTAGTATAAAAGAAAAACAAAAGGATAATTTAGAGAGACTAAATATATTGGAGAAACTCACACAATAATCACATATGTTTCAACACACAGCAAAAATAACTAGCAGCAGAGTAAATTCTCATTTTCGCTTAAAAGTACAACAAACTTGGGCAAGTTGTCCAACTTGTCATCGAGTAATCTTTTTTCTCCACGTTTTCTGGCGAGGATGTAAGATTATAGAAGAAAAGAGTATGGGCATCACGCCAGTTTATAGGCCAACTTAAATTTAAAATCTTCAATATCATTCTTGAAAAAGCGAACAAGTGTCTCACAGCTCATATCCTCATCTGAGGGTAAATTATTAGCAACGTTTTTAAAATTGGTTTTTGTCTCCGGGTTTTAGCTGCCTGGTTCATGATTAATATTGAATTGGACTGGACCAACGATTGGTTCGCGGTCTGACCGGCCAGTCCAATCCGGTTTAAACAGCATGGTTACTAGACAGAGCTAGTTCAAGCATTTAGAGAAGCTGGAGACTCAAAGTAACTCAGTTATCACATATTATGCCTTATCTTGGAATATAAAGAGCATCTAGAAGAAGTTGGGATTCTATGGGAAATTCTCAGAAAAGGAGAGCTTGGTGGAGGGGGTATTCTATGGGAAATTATCTACTCCATCGTCTTTGTGTGAAGCCAATACCCTCGTCATAGTTTGGAAAATTGGATCATTACAAAATGGACTATTCCACGTGAAAAGGATATATCATAGAACATACAGATGCCCATAAATAATATAACAGAGAACAAAATAATTACACAAGTGTATCACAGTTGCTAGTGAACAAAGGATAAAGAGGCATGGATTATTACACAGAAAAATATTAAGTTTGATTTTGCCTTCCCCGCAAATAAAGATAGCAAGCATTATAGAAGGCATATACTAACCACAAGTTTGATTTCTAACAAAATTATGTGATAAACGATATCATGGTCCAAAAATGAAAGAAGAAAACCCAAATTGCTATTTAATCGTAAGGAAAAATTGTTGAGAAATCTAATAGAAACAACAAATTGAAGAAAAATCAACAGTAATCTGAATAAAAAGAAGAGGAAAGTGCAACAACAAATAATCTAGGTTTTGTGTATCATACTTACACGCTGAATGTGGATGAAACTTTGTCGTTGGCGGTTCGCACAGCGGCTTCAATATCGAAGGAGGAGGAATCTTCATCGTCGGCGTTGGAAGCGGCGGCATAAGCGTTCCAGTCGGCGAGCAGAGACGACGGCTTCTTATCGAGATCGCTGCTAGGGCCACCACTGAACCACGCCTGCGCTGTTTTATGCATTTCTAAGTAGTGTTTATTGAGAAATGCAGAAGATGTTGGTACGAGAGATCCACGTGATCACGGAGGCAACGCCGGAGGCAGCGCCGGCGGCAGTTGTTTCAGAATTGGGGGTGGCGTGAAGAACTGAAGAAGATCTGATGTGGTGATGGGATGCGCGGCTGTGTTCTGTTCTTGCTATTTTTTTTCAATTTTTCCTTTTCTCTCTACAAGAAAATTAACTAGCTACTACATATTTTACTATTATTTAATTTGTATTTTAAATGACATGTAACTGTAAAAAAAAAATCTTGTGTTACACAGTATTTTACTATTTTCTTCCTTTATAATAAGGAAAATTCCAAATTAGATAGAAACATTTGACTTTTTCAATAGGCGCAATTTGTTAAATAGCCCAGACACTAATTGTAGAGCCTGGAATTTGGAGAACACTACTCGTATAATCCAATTCAAACTTTTATAGTTGACATACAAAAAAAATTAATACTACATTACAAATTGAATTTGGTAGAAATTAATGTAAAATATAGGGTTCCAAAATGGACGACTATTAACATTCTATTACAAAAACATCTATTTGAGTGACATCACCGAAAGTCACCTCAATTTATTACACAACTTAAGTGTATAACACAATGGCTTGATACTTAATCTGCGCATAACATTCAAGAAGAGAAACGAGTAAGTCCAAACGACTTAGTGAGAAAACACATGATTTAACTAATTATAAAAAGTTTCCCTATACAGTCTGTAAACCCTCATCCCCATAACAGATTAACGGCCTCAGCCAGAGGAAAAAATATTCTTACACCCATTTTCTCGTCGGAAAATTTATTTCCATCCAACCTTACTGACCTAGACAAGTCTAGCTCTGATTTTCCTATTGTAGAAGCACTCCCTTTGGAAAGCAACAATTTTGGAATCTTTTGAACACGATTGCATCTGAGTATGATGGACCTTAGTTAGCTATTGGTGATTTTAATTCAATTGTGTCTCAATCCGAAAAAAATGGTGGGAATCCTTTTGCCTCTTCTTCCAGTCACACTTTCCTGTCTGACCTAAATACTCTTGGCCTTGTTGACCTTGGTTTTAGTGGTTACCCTTTCACCTGGAACAACAAAAGAAATGGTTTGGCAAATATACAACAAAGGTTGGATAGAGCTGTTGCGTCTTCTTCTTGGTGCACTTTATTATCTCAGGCAAATGTCTCTCATCCTACTGCTATTTGTTCAGACCATAATCCTATTCTCCTTGATTCTTGTACTAATGTTTCCGGTGGTAGAAAGCCTTTTAAATTTGAAGCAATGTGGCTTCATGATGATACTTGCTTTGATATTGTGCATAATGCTTGAGACTATTTTGTTAGTGGTTCCCCTCATTTTCAAATTAGCTCTAGAATTAGAAATGTGAAATCTGCCCTCAAAGATTGGAATTTTTCTCACTTTGGCAATTTGCATTCTTGCATAAAAAATATCAGTGAAGAGATTTCTCTTTTACAGAAAAATGACCAAAACTCTTCTTCTCTCCAATATGAAAAAAATCTCCAAGTGCAATTGGATCAGTGGCTTTTAAAATCTGAAATCTTTTGGAAACAAAAATCTAAAGAAAAGTGGCTTCTTGAAGGTGATGCAAACTCAAAATTCTTTCACCGTACTACTATTCTGCATACTAGAGCTAATAGGATTGTGTCTATCAAGAATGCTCATAATGTTCATGTTTTTTAGTGGAAAGAAATTGGTGCATGCTTTTGTGATTTTTATGATTTACTCTATAAGTCTGATTATCCTCTTGATTGCCCTCCATTCCCCTCTAATCTTGACTATCTTTTTCCTTCCACCATCTCCGATGATGATAACACCGAGCTCTGCTCAATTCCCACTCTCTCTCAAATCAAGAACACTCCTTTCTCCTTTGCATCTAATAAAAGTCCGGGGCCTGATGGAATGCCACCTTTGTTTTTCAAATCTTTTTGGAAAACCACTTGTGTTGCTGTTACCTCTGTTGTGCAGCACTTTTTCAAGCATGGATTTCTTCTCAAATCCCTCAACCATACCTTCATTGCCTTGATTCCAAAGTCTAAGCATGCCTCTAAGGTTGATCAATTTAGGCCTATCAGTCTGTGCAATGTCACTTACAAAATTATTTCAAAAATTCTTGCAAAAAGACTGAAGCCTTTTCTTCCTTCCTTCATTTCCCCTTTTCAAATGGCTTTTGTTCCTGGTAGAAATATCCATGATAACAACATCATTTGTCATGAAATCATGGAACCTACATAAGAAAAAAGGTAAAAAAGGTTTTATGGCAATTAAAGTTGACCTTGCTAAAGCTTTTGATCGAGTTGAATGGAATTTATTGGCCACTATTCTTGAAAATTTGGGGTTCTGTAAAAAGTTTATCGATTGGATTATGCAGTGTATTACTACCTCTTCTTTCTCCTTTTTGATTAATGGTTCTCCTTATGGTTTCATTAAACCCTCTAGAGGTATTAGACAAGGAGACCCCCTCTCTCCTTTCCTTTTTGTTATCTACATTGAAATTCTTTCCAGGTTGTTTGCTGAACAGGAGAATGCTGGTCACTTCAAGGGAGTAAAAATTTCAAGAACATCTCCTTCTATCTCTCATCTCCTTTATGCTGACGATTTAATTATTTTTTGTAGGTCTACGAGAGAAGATGCCCAATGTATTAAAAACATTCTTGATACGTTCTCTCTGTGGTCCATCTGTTGGGATGTGAAGCCCAGGATTCAATGAAAATTCGCAAGAGGTTCTAGATTAGCCGGTTTTAATTTTATTAACATGCTTTGATTAGATTCGTTTAAAGCGGAATAAATCTAATCTAGCAACTTACAGTTTTCGCGAGCAGATTCGTTTCTATCTTCGGCGCACGGACGAGGATCCACGTCAAGCCTTCAACCTTCGTAAAAGCTGCTGTCCAGAAATTTCCAGTCCTCTTCCTTCACCGATATATCCACGACCGCTGATCCGATCGAGAAACCCTTTGGACAGATTGTAGATCTAAGGGTTAGGAAGCTACTGTATAAATTTCGAGCCTATCCGACTAACGGTTGATTTATGGTGATTTTCTTCGCAGGACTGCTCAGAAAATTCGGGAATTATACTTTGCTCTAAAAACCTATAATCTTCTATTGTATATCCCGGATTAATAATTCTTCTACAAGGGTGGACTTGTACTTGAAGAAATCTAAATCTATAATCGAGAAACTTAGAGAGAAAAGAAGAAGAGAAAAAATATTTCTCTCCAACGTGAAATAGGCGTGTAGGCGTGTAGAATTATTATGTCTCTCATCAACTCAATCTCTATTATATAGCACAAGGAATTAGAGTCACACATAGAGAGGATTACATGGAAACAAATCCCACTCCCTCTATAACTCTATATAGTCGAAAATTACAGTCCAGTCACACATAGAGAGGATTACATGGAAACAAATCCCACTCCCTCTATAACTCTATATAGTCGAAAATTACAGTCCAATGGGACTTAATTTTCGGCTATATTAATTCCAATATATAATATTGGTTGAACTTTATTTTCTCGATTAATTAGAAAATCCATTGGGCTACAATAGGGACTAAAGGAGAAAATATAAATCGGGCAACTAATAATTAATTAAATCCAAACTCTTAAAAGAATCCATTTAATTAATCATTAAATAATTATTTATTTTCCACTACCAAATAATTATTGAACTCCCGTTTATATTCTCAAATATTACATTCGAGCTCCGGTCGATCATTACTTAGATTCTCCCCACATTAAGATATCTTATAACCACCAAATAATTTATTCACTGCTAAATAAATTAAATGGTTTCTTTTCATGAGTCTTACCTGCTCAATTTATTTGAGTATGCCGGATACGAAATCCACCTGGCCAGGACTTGGCATAAACAAATCTTATAAGCTACTCAAGGGTTATTATCAATCCCATATTTCAGAGATGTGGATTCCTTTCGATAATTAATTTCCACCTATTAATTCTTAATGTCTCTACCCAACGCACCGGGGGCCATTTGACTCAATATAGGAATCTCTCCCATTGTGACATCAAAGTAGAGATCATCAATTAAATATGTACGTTAATTATTTAGGGATTAAGAGACTAAGTAATTTACTGTCAATTAGAAATAATACAGTTTCATTTTTGAACAGTGATGAAACAATTATTTCACTTTGTCCGGTTCAACACATGCCGGGTGTGCTAGCACAATAAGTCAAAACAATAACTACAAAAGTTATTCTCTGTTTACTGTGATCAAGACCAATCACTTAAATATTGTGCTACAATCTTTTACCAATGGTTAGTCCATTTCCATCTAGATTGTGAACGTTTATCTTTATATTCTAAACGAACTTTCAAAATGATCTTTCTGTGCGCCGTAGCACACCATTTCGAATACTATTAGAATATTAGACTTATGCTTTTAATTAATTGACAAACAATCAATTAAATGCATTGAATACCCTAGTGCAGATTCTCATAAAATGATAATAAACTATTTTATTAATTCAATAATAAAACTACGAAGCTAAAAGCGAGACTTTTAGTCTACTATCCTAACACCATCCAGTTTCCAAACTCATCTAAATCCTCTGTTCATTTCAGCTCCAATACTCTTCATTCGGATAAGCTTGCCACTATGAACATTCTCAATTTCAAAGAGTGCTCCCACAAAGAAAAACATCTTGGTTTCCCGTTTTGCAGATCCCATTCCAAGAAAGGCGCTTTTAATGATCTTATCGATAAGATCAACTTCAATTTGAGTGGTTGGGAGGCCAAAACACTTTCTCAAGCTGGTAGAACTATTCTCATTTCTGCAGTGGCCTCAGCGATTCCTACTTACCAAATGTCCATTATTCTCTTTCCAAAACATATTTGTTCTAAATTGGATGCTTTTTGCAGAAAATTTTTGTGGGGCTCTAACATCAATGGCAACTCTTTCATGACTAAATGCTGGGACACACGATTTGTCTGCCTAAATCTTAAGGTGGTATGGGGTTCAAACGAATGACTGACCTGAACAAAGCTCTTGTGTCTAAATTGGGGTGGTATATTGCTTGTAATGTTGACTGCCTTTGGGTTAAAACGCTCTCTGCTAAGTATCTTAGGCACCATAATCTTCTCACCCTTGAGTCCTCTCCTTCAAATGCCTCTTGGATTTGGAGAAGTATTTTTAAATCTAGGGATCTTATTATTAAAGGTGCT